CCGGTGAAGCGCGAACCCCTGCCGCCGTATCGCGGCCAGGCCTTGCGGATTGACCCCCCACAAGGTCGCCCTTTGGTGACCGAGGACGACCGGCCAACGGCATCAACATTGCCCAGCGCGTCCGTAACAAGTCCCGAAAACAAACTCTCTGCCATGCCATATACTCCCGCAAACGTATTCCCAACTCCAGTCAGCGCAAATCCTCAACCACCACCGCCTTTTGGAGAAAGGATGACCAAGGAATATCAACGCGTGCCTCCTCTGCACGATCTCAGCAGAACGGAGCCTGAGACTCCCCATCCTGGGAACCAGCTCCCGCAGATCAAGGTCTTGCAACCGACGAGGACGAATAGTCCGGCTCCTCCTCCGCCTGCACCAACCTCAAATGCCCAGGTCGCAGCACAACTGGCCCTCTCGCACTCGCAGTTCCCGCAAAGGCGGACACAGAAGGAGGAGATGTTATCAGGAAGACACTTCTACCCCTTCGACAAGGAGCTGTGCCTGGAGCGTGAGCGTTGCGCTGCTGCCTGCTGGAGATTCAACAACCTCACTACTCCACCGACCATCGGCGTGTCTACCGAGGAGCGAGCTCGACTATTTCTCGAGATCCTCAAGCCCCGTGATCCAGTTCGAGTTTCTCCAACGGAGCTCTCACCAGTCACCAACGTGGGCCGCGTGGGTAGTCATGTTACTGTCGAGACTCCCTTCACTTGCGACTACGGATACAACATTACCATCGGACACCATGTGGCAATTGGGCGCAATTGCACAATTAATGATGTTGGCGAAGTCAAGATTGGTGACAATTGTGTGATTGGACCCAATGTCAGCATCTTCACGGCCTCGCTGCCCATCGACCCTAAGAAGCGCCAGGGTGGACAGGGTCCCCAGCTTGGAAAGCCCATTATCATTGAGCAGGACTGCTGGATCGGCGGAGGTGCCATGATCCTTCCTGGGCGAACCATTGGCAAGGGTAGCACTGTAGGCGCTGGATCAATTGTGACCAAGGTAAGTCTGGCTGAAAAAACATTCTTGAAGTAGCCAAAGCTAACTCGTGTCTTAGGATGTCCCTCCCTTCACAATTGTTGCTGGAAACCCCGCGAGGGTTCTCCGCGGCATCGCTTCATAATTATTGTACTCGGCGATGCGCTTTTCTTTCTTCGCTTCATGTCATGATACCCTAGTGTATTCACATGTATAAAGTCAAGATGATTCCTAACCCCGTCCTTTGGCGGCGGAAACAAGGAATTATCCACGATCACGAATGGAGCTTAGCGTACAAAAGTCTCGGCGTTGCGTCTTGTCTGATTAATTGGTTGATTGATGTTACTGGGAGGATATTTATCTTTACAGGGGTTATAAGTGCAGGGAAAAGCGAGTTTTACAAGAGGCGCTGGTTGTCGGATCTGGGATGCCCAAGATGGGCTTGGGAACTGGCTGAACAGGAGTAGGAGTGTAGGAGGTGGTTGGTACGACAACCTATGGATCAGGTATGATGATGGGGCAAGATGGATGGAATGGTATCCAATGGGACAGGATGGGATGGCAGGGTTCTCTGTGTTTTCTGTTGCATGTGCTATGACTTATGAGAGATAAACAAGCCGGGCGAAAGCTTGCAGTGAGATATCCATATTATTGATTGTTGCTTACAGCAGTTTAGTTGCAGTTGGTCAGACGATAGCTGAGAGTTTTATTCATTGAAGAAGCAAGTTTTGTATGTGTTGTTGGTTCTATATTGAATATGCCATCTCGCAATCAACCTGTGTTCAAGGTCAAACTCTGAGCATGTGCTCTAACCAACAGGACTTGAGTCTTGGAAACTCTTTGACAACTTCCTAATTAGGGTCAATGTAAACACAAGCCAGTTCTCGCTTGGATCATGCATGCAGTGTAAGTGAACAGTCGGTCTGGCCTAGATGGTCACATATGCGACCCATCCCAAGACCACCCGTGATATCAACAAACAATTGACTTTTTTTTCGTTTGGCCCAACATGTGAATCTGTATCTTGTCTCCATGGTGATGATGGATTGTACCCGCAAGAGTGCGTCCTCGTCAATGCAACCTTGAGGCTGCATCTTTCACCGCATGGGATGGATGATGTCGAGTGGGGGGTAGACCTCAGCAAACCTCGTATAACTCAGTCGAAACCAACATCCCTTCCGAGCATGTATTCGGTTACGTCTGGAGGGGGTTGGTTCGTTGGGGGCTGTTGGGGTTCATTCCCAGATCGGAGATAGCGGTCAATTGATATCTGGAGTTGTCAGTTGAGAGCTGCGGGATAGACAAATAGGGGGGGAAACAAACCCAGTCAAAACCCTCGCTAGAACCAAAGAAGTTTTCCACTGGGAGAAACTCTTGATAATCGATAGGATACTCTGCAATCGAGATTCCGGAAAGATCAGGCATTGCTCCAGAGGTATCACCATCGATGTAGGCATACTCGGTGCTGGCCGTCTCAAGTGTTCCGGGTTCGGATATGGTGGTGGCGGCGGGTGTCTCGACGCGGATGAGGATGGCGCGGAGGACTTTTGCGGCGTGACGGGCGTCTTTGGACTTGGCGCCGCGCTCGTTCCAGATTGAGTGTGCTCTCTGGAGGAGTTGGATACGGTACTGGCGATCATGTGGACTGATGGTTGTTAGAAAGATAATCCGCGATCAGATGGTTGGAACTTGCTTTGTATCGGTCGACTCGCAGAGATCGAGACACAAGATCATGGCAGCAACGAGAAAATCATGCATCGTCAGGCTAGAGACCATGAAGCGGTCATGGTACATACGTCCTCCCTCACGGATGGCCTCGTCAAACTCAAGATGGAGGTCCAGTATCCGCTGGGCAGCGGCGCGGCAGATGTCGCGGGACAGTCTGTATCGGGGCTCATCCTTGGCAACACTGAGGTAAGGGCGATGTAGCACGCAGAGCGTCTTGCGGTACGAGAGCTCGAGGATCAGGCGGTGCATGATGGTGTGGCCCTGGTCCTCGGGTGAAGTGCTGTTGATGGGCCGGATGTTGTAGCATGGGGGAATGCTGTCGTAGAAGGCCTCTAACTCGGCTTGGAGTCCCATTGTTTCTTCGTATGGTCGTGGTTCTACTGCTAGAGTATGTATGAGGACACGACGGATCAGACGGCACAGATGAGACTTGATACGCCAAGCCAGCAAGGGCGTGGGATAGATTGGTGGCCTTGAAGGTGGCACATCTGTATCTTCGTCAAAGTCGTCGTCGGTCAAGTTACGCGGATGGTCCGCGTCACAGACTTCTTGGTATATCATGGGCGGCATACCAAGCTGAAAGGAAAAGAGAAGGTCAGATGTTTGGACCATGAACCAAGTCCGACGACGCATCTCAGCCTCAAAGGGCGTGATGTTCGGAGACACCCTGGCTGCGTCGAGATGATACCCCCTACGCTGGGCGAGACGGACAGCCAAGCCGTAGAGCGACCATATCGTAGCGTCCGAATCTACCTTTTGAACGTTGCGGGAGTGTGCAAACATCATGAGCGCCTCGACCGAGTACGACTTTGCGTTGAGATACTCCCCCGTGATGAGGCACTGCGCCGAGCGGTGCATGTACAAGCTTGGCTCCGCGACTGTTTCCAGCAAGGGGCTCTGGACCTTGGCGATCATGGCGCCCAGGCTGAGGACGGAGAACATGATGCTGAGCCAGAGGAAGTTGGACTCGTGGGGCCTCGACCAAAAGAGCTCGTAGCGTCGCCAGAAGTGTCGCTCGTGGGTAAATGGCACGACGAGGAACTTGGCGTCGAAATAGGTGCGTACAAGGACGTCTGCGTCTTGGCGAGAGGGCATGCTGGATCGAAGCTCGTCGATTGTGACGGGAGTGACGCCTCCGAGGACGATATCCAGAGCAGGCAAGTTCTCGGGTTCTTCTGGCTGTTCTTCCTCCTCTTCAGTGTTGAGAACACTCTGTATATCGTGAATGCTCTGAAACACAGCCTCCCACGACGTTTCTCCAAGATACGCAGCATCCGATCCATCTCTCGGACAACTCTCCACCCTCTTTTGACCAGCAGAGGCCGCGGCGAGGCGCTTGACAATCTCCTCGAGCTTTGCAACCTTGGACTGCATTTCGCGCCTGCTACTATCAGGCGCTTCGCCGTAGATGCATTCCATCGTCTCATCGCGCCTCTTACAGGCGCCGCACGAGGGCCTCACGCGGTCGCATCTTGACTTGCGGCGCTGGCAAGCGGTGCACGAGACGGGTTTGCGGTTTCGCGTGATGCGGTGGGCGTCTCTGGTGCGGAAGACGCCCGTGAACTGGGCGATTTCGGGGTCTGGCATGGTTTACTCGAGAACAACTTGGGCTTTGCAGTAGTAACAAGTGAGGCAAGTTGTAGAGACAAAGAAGTGATGATGCTTGGTTTCAAAGCACGGGAACGAGGCTTGCAGAGCCTCTTAAACTTAGATCCCAGCAGATAGACAAACACACCGTCTCTGGGCCAATGAGAACCGCAGACGCCAGACGGCAAGCTGCAGGCTTGTTGGTGGTTATGGTTCAGTTCCTGAATCACTACCTAAGGTGCCTGTTAAAAGTGAGTTTAGTTATTCTGTTTCAATAATGCTATGGTTGTCTTGGAGGTGATGACTTACACATACCCTCGATATATGTCAAGGTTCAAGATGAGTTGACATGGACTAAACTTGAACTTGTTGTATAGCGTTGTACATTACTAAGTCCGAAATCCCCTTAAATGCGGGGGTTGATAACCAGATTTCTTCTCACAACTCCAACTCATCAAAGATAGTCTCGACTATAAGAAATCTCAACAGTGTATGTTCATCAAGCATTTCTTGGCTCGTAATCTCTATTCCCAAAATGACTCCCCATCCGCTTTTTATACCCTCTCTATCGTACAGGGTTATTTATTGTCCAAGAGACCTTTGCGATATATATATGACGTGATTGATACAATGCCAGCAGCAAGGTCGTGTCGCTGCCCCATGACTCAACAACTCCAGCCGTTATCTGATACAAAACAACATTACCGAGCCCGATCTTGCTCCATCCGCCTTTTGTTGGCGTCAATGATCTTCTCCATCGTCTTGAGCGCCCGGGTCTGATCCCGGAGTCGCGCAAATGCCTTGAACGTGTGCAAGTCGGGCTTGAACCCGGCTGCCTCGAGGTCCTGTAAAGTGCCCACCGTCTGGGATAGATTCTGCATCGAGGCGTAGCCCTTGGCGAGTGTGTTCCATGTCACAATGTTGGGCTCCAAACCATGTTCCTGCATGGCCTGGAGCACCTGCTCAGCCAGCATTTTCTCCCCCCTCATTATCAAGCCGTGTATGAGAATGCTAAAGGTGAATAGGTTGGGAGCCGGGTGAACGGGTGCCTCGTCGGAATTCACCCCTGCTGCCTTGTCCTCTTCTTTCGGTCTCGAGTACAAAGAGGAACGAAGCATGTCGCCAAAGACTTGCAACGCCGGCCGTTGTAGAGCTCTCCGCTCAAGCATCACCAGGATCAGCGTGTCATGTATCACGCTCCCCTGATCCTTTACCACCTCAGTAGCCCAGTTCCTCTCGGGTCCCTGCTCTTCCAGACGGGACTTGAAGAAGGTATAGAATGTCATCAAGTCATAAGGTCGGTAGAGACTCTTGATGTATGCGCGTAGCATAATGGCCAGAGTCTGCGCGTTGGGCTTTAGTCGAGGTCCTCCGCTTGTTTCAAAGAACTCGTCGACAACAGGCACGATGGTTCTCTTGAACTCCCAATCTCTCCGAGGACCAGATCTGAACTTTTCAGTGCCGTCCACGTTATCCTGCCCCAAGATCAGGGGTAGTGTATCTGGCAACAGCCATTGCAGAGGCTCCAGGTCAAACTTCTTGACGTAGATTCGAAGCATCTGTCCGAATAGGGGGAGGACCCATGGAGCCGGGTATTTCTTCTCTCGACATTCCATCTCTGCAAAGAAGAAGATGGAGTGGAGCGTGTTGTTGAGCACATCCACGTAGGGCACCTTGGCCGCTCGAGCGACATCAAGAGCAAGGCGTACGTTGGATGCCTTGAGGCTGTTCTTGGCACCCCTGAAAACAGTTGTGTAGCATCGGGTATCAAGTTCAGCTCCGTTCTCTGCTAGGAGGAGCGGGAGCCGGACAGCCTCGGCGATATCGCCCTGAGAGCAGAGTGACTCGATCAAGGCTGTGAAGCTCACCAGATTGGCAGAGAAGCCCTTTTCTAGAAAGTACTCCATTGCTCGTTGTGGCGAGAAGGTGTCCTCTTCTGTCTTGGTCCACGCTTCTCCTTCTTGCTTTGTGTGTAGCAGTGTCGTAATGACACTCGCCACAGGTGCAGAGTTGAGGTCGTGCCCCTCTTCGGCAATATGACGCAGGATCTCAAAAGCCCTTTCTTTGTGAGCTAGACTTTCTGAAAGCTTGCTCGCGAACTGCAGGAGGGTATAGGAGTGCATCTTGATGCCCGAACGATGTAGAATTTGGTACATCTCAGCTGCTTGCTCAACAGGGAGTCTCTTGGCAATATGACCAAGGGTATGCTGGCGAAACGGCACATGGCCGCGTGGAAGGTCCTCTGCCAACTTGGCAAACAGCTCGAGCAACTCGTCAGCTTTTGAAACACGGTCTCGATGAACCTTGATATCTTCCAGCTTGAAGTTTGTAATGCAAAAATGTGCCACGTCGGAGGCGGCATACCCAGGAGGGAGAGGATCCAAGGTAGCCTCGAGGACCTGTGGTGCCTTTTCTGGACAAAGATGCATTGTAGACAACATGACTGTCGGCCACTTTTCCCTCCGAGTCTCGACATCGAGCTCCTGCCACGCCTTCTGCATGACCGAGAAGCTCCCTAGCCCAAACAGCCATTTACCGTCATCTCGCCACGGCCACGAGCTCGGGTTTGCGGGTGTCTCGATCATAAGCATTTTCCGCTTCCAGAAATTGAACCGTGACCTGACAGCCACCAACTCGGAGGCGGGAGTCTGAGAGCGTAGGTAAGCCCATTGATCGGCTATCGTCTTTTTTCGCTTCAGCTTCAACTTCATTTTGCGACGATCCTCGGCCAGCTTCTTTGCCTTCTCTGCCCTTTTAGCCCTGCGCTGGAAGAAACTTGGATCTTGAGAGGTCCCAGAAGGACTATTCTCCTCCCTCAATTCTTCCTCGTACTCCTCAGCATGCGCCTCTGCGTCGTCTCGACCTTGTTCGGGCCTCCATGGTGGTTCTGAATATGCCTCGGACACTACGGTGGGCTCGGAGGGGTTCGGAGATGCATTACGGGGCCGCAATTGAGCAAGTATTGAAGGTTCGCTATCGGGGAGCGGTGATTGAGCCGTGGCATGATATCTCCGAGCGAATATTGACCGGTCGTGCCCGTGGTTGAGTCGTATTGACAGAAAGGCCGCTCGTCTTGTCCATGTCTGCGCCGTCACCGAGGACTCGAGCCGCCTCGTGAAGCAGGCGCGGTACATGAGAGCCGTTGGCATTTCCCCCGAGTCGAGTCGGCATCAACTCGAGGTCAGCCGTTCTTCATACTGATCGCCCAGGCGAGTTTTGCTGAGGACGACGTTGAATTATCGCGGGTCGTCGGAAGTTTCGTCGATTATCGGTTTACGGGAATTTCTCAACTGGACCGTTTCCGAGGTCGCTTCCGTCGCGCTTCAGACCAACATCTAATTTTTTTTAGGTTAGGTTGCGCTTAGCCCCGGCTGTTTTAGTGGCGCTTGACCCTGCAGCGGCTCTGAGACGCCCTGCCACAGGCGGTTCGATTGACGCGCTTCAGGTACGTATTCGCAGTAACTTTAGAGGTATCCATTCTTGAATTTACATTTTACACCCCGCCAACCTCAACCCATGATCTTCAACCTCGAGCTTCCTCAATTGCGATAGATTCTGCGCCGTGCTTGTGCACATTCCCTTCGCTTACCAAGTACCACCATGTCTTCGTCACACCTCAACCTCAGCGCTGCCTCGGACGACCGAAAAGCCAGGCTCGCCAAGCTCAAGAACCTCAAGCGGAAGCAACCAGGCGACGAGATCGTCGCGCCAGAGTCAGAGCGAGCCGCGTCTCCCCCCTCAGAACCCGATGTGTCTCGATTACACCTCTCCGGACGCAACTACGACCCAGAGACCCGAGGCCCAAAGCTCGGTTTCGAGCAGGACCCAACACTCAACTTCGAGAAGCCAACCCTCGAGGAGCAGGCCGCCGAAGTCGAGGCCGAGATCAAGCAAAAGGCTGCTGAGGAGGCGCAGGACGACAAGGGCATCGATCTGTTCAAGTTGCAGCCCAAGAAGCCGAATTGGGACCTGAAGCGAGAGCTGGACAAGAAGATGGAGGTACTCAACGCCCGGACCGACAACGCCATCGCGCGCTTGGTTCGCGATCGGATCCTGGGGGCACAAAAGGCGGCCTCCAAGACCAAGTCGGCCGACGGCGCTGAAAACGACGGCGAAGCTGCCGGTATGGATGGTGTGGCCTTGGTCGAGGGACTCAGAGTCAGGGAGAGGGAAGAGGCAGAGGAGGAGCGTCGCGAACGGGAAGAGGAGGCTGCGCTAGGAGCATGAGGTGGATGATACTGTACGTTGGCTCTTCCTCGTCCTTTTTATTTGCATTTTGGGGGTCTGGCGCATTGCGCGATCACGGTTACACTATCTTTACAATATACCCAATAATTATCTTCCTCCTATGTTCATAGCCTGGGTCATGGCTAACCGCCGACTAAAGGGACTCAAGCTGCGCTCCCGAGGCTGCTCATTTGGAGGCGGGCCCCTACGATCCTGGACCCTTCCATTATGCCCTCCACGAGCATGCCTCCCCCGTCCTGGCCGAGTATCGCGTCGATCTGGCCTTTCAAATCGTCGTCCCCTGTGCTCGGGTGACCTCGACTCGCGAGGGTGCTGAGGTCGAGATTCGTAGGATCCCCTTGACTCCGATGAATACCTCATTTGTCGCCTCGAGGGTCCGTTATCCTCTCTAGGGGGAATAGGTTCCCGAGATCGGTAGCGGTCTCGGCGGTCGTCCACAGGGGAGCGACTGTCACGAGACACAGAGCGCCTTTGCTGGTACTCAACTCGTGGGCTCCGACTGCGACTGCGGCACCGACTGCGGCTCCTACTCCGACTATCATCCCGGCGTCCGCCGCGCGGAACAGCGTTCTCATCAGAATAAGGGCTTCGCGAACGTCGGGCAGGTGGAGGTGATCGAATCCTCTCCCTAGCAGGTGAGGGCGACCTCGACGCGCCAGTCGAAATAGTAGAGACTGAGTGCGATGAAACGGATCTCGGGCGCTTGGCAGCAGACTCGATCAACTCATCATCACGCTCTTCGCGCTCACGCTTGCGGGCGCGTTCAGCCTCTGCCTTTGCGAGCTGTTCATCTGCAACACCCTGCCTAAGACTTTGTAAGTATGTAGAACTCAAGGATTGATCAATAAAACGCACTTTTTCTCCAGGGGATTCAATTTGTCATTGGTAAGCTTGGGGACCAGCTTTGGGTTCCGAAGTTGCTGCGAGCGCGACGGGCGCGACACGTATGGCCGCTCCTGGGAAGCTGCCTTGCACTCATAAGAGTAGTGGCGTTCTAAGATGGTCAATACAGGTACTCATCGTAAAGTTTCTTAAATACATATCTCTCTTCAGACACTTTTGGCATTGCACGTTGGTGGGTGTCGACCTGGAAGGGCCGCCACGTCCTCTGTAAGTAAACATATCAGATGTGATATGGCTTGCGCTCGCAAGCTCGCTTTCCTGGGGTGAAATGGGATAAATAGAAGTGAGGCTGGTGTATCTTTACTGAATATCGGGTAATATCTGGTCGTTTCAGATAAGTATGGTCGGGATAAAGATTGATGATCAATGAGGCAACAGAGCTGAGGATGTTTCTTCAGTGATGTCGGTAGCCTGCGTCACGTGACTGAGCGAGCCAAGTCACATTGGGGCCCTTCAAAGAAGCAGATAATGGCAGATCAACTTGGCTATTTGACATCCAATACCATACAGGCCAACATTAGTAAACCTTGATTGGCGTTGATTTCTTCATCTTCTTTCTCAATAGTGATCTTACACTAGGGCAGAAAGACACAAGGCAAAGGATGCGCTGAAGTCTAAACTACCTCTTCACTTCGCCCTTCAAATGAGCCTTAATAAAGCCCCTTCCAGTGACTTGTTGATCTAAAGGCATTGTCGATCTTAGAAGCTAAGTCGCCTTTACCGGGATGTGATGTTTGGCATATGCGAGATAATCATAGTCTGAAAGAGCCAGGCCTCCTTGACACAGCAGGCAAAATAGCTACAGGCATACCACGACCAAACATCATTAGTAGATGACTCAATGAATTAGTTGATTCTCACCAAGATAGATAAGATGGGTCATCAGAAATTCCCCCTCTTGTTCTGCACCCATCACATGGCGACGAATCTCTGGTACTTACCAGCAACTTTCACCCTAGGTACCTACATGATGCACTCCACAGTGCCAGTTGCTCGCCTCATTTTCACACACACTTGATATCAAGCCCAGACTTTCACAGCCATGGCAGGCCATATCTAAGACTTTGGACTCAAACAATCTCGCCGCCGTGGTCACCGTCGTTTCTTTCAAAGATCAATGAAAGCAAAAGTCACACCTTGTGATGAGATGTTGGCGAATGAGGAAACGGACGGTGTGAAACCCAGGCGTCTCTCTGGTTGGTTGCAGCGGATAACTGTTTAACCAACCCATGGAGGCCTTCTCCTATCTCCCGCAGCAATGATCCACGATCATTGATGCAAAAGATGAATTTCTCTTGGTCCAGCGTCAAGATGGCGGGTCTGTGCTATTCTGTCGGCGTTCTCACACTGTGTCGAAAGACCTCGGTCCGCGAGTTGTAGAAACACACACCCATCCTTATCTTTGTAGGCTGAGACGGAATTGGTCCTGACGGGGTGACGATGTTGCTGCAGGAGAGAATCTGACGCCATGGCCGCAGAAGCGAATGGCCAAGGATTGTTGGCCTCAAGAAGCATTACAAGCATCAACCGAAGCAACATGACACACCAGAAGCCCTCAAGAATGACAGGCAAGCATTCCTGTAAAGGCCATTTGAAAGGATGGAATTTCATCCACCTCCCAGTCATGATCCAAACCCAGGACTCCAACCCAAGCACATGCCCGCATTGACAATGTGCTTTCAAGGAGGGATCCATTGCGAGCTGCCTGCCCGCGATTACATCTCGCGACAGTGGATAACGGGCTGCGGCAAGGTTTGTTGTGCTCCGGGACACCAGAGGAATTACGACAGATGTCAGTAGGGCATCAAGCAGACGAGTCTGGTCGTATCACTTGGAGAGGCGCTTCGAGTGCCCAACATCATGCAATAGCTGAGAAAACATCCTGGGGAGATCCTGGGCGAAAGTGCTGCAGGAGGTCTGACCAGGCCTTGGCTCAGGGTCAGGTTCAAAAAATAAAAATAAAAAGTGACTGGTTACATAATCATCTTTTCTCTCGTCTCGAGCCTGCATGCATGGAAGGACACCACACAGGAGTCCCTGAACAGGGGCATATTGGAGGTGTAGTATCCGTATTCTCAGGAGTATCTAATGCTTGGTCTCTTGATGCTTCGCTTGCTCAGAGTTTGTACTCTCTTCGGCCCGCTTGTGGAAAAGACCAAGCAGTCGGTGTCTATCCCGAGTGTACAAACGGTATTTGTTGCACATTGATTTGCCTGCACTGTAATTGCAATTGGATGACAGCGGCAGCTGGAGCCATACGCAGAAGAGCACTGTAGGATAAGTTAATTTTCTTGGTCCCAGCAATAACCTCCACATTCAAACTCCCCCTTTGCTTTGACTGGCCGTCCATCGCATGTCGCTGGAAATCTGCACTTTCTAGTGGTCCAGGCTCCTTCAGTGGTCCTCCACTCCCGCCTTTCAGCGGCCGTCCCGTCTTCAGCGGGTGGTCATCGCTCCGTCCATTGTCAGGGCAGCGCCCGTCCCCGTCCCCTGGGTTCTAGCTCTCACTGTGCGCGGGCCCTCCTTTGTTACCTCCTGTTATGGACTGCTGCTGCTGCTGCTCCCCTCCATCCAAAACCCTTCTTCCACTAATCCTCCGTCATCGCATCGCCCCGTCTTGCGCCCCGGGCCGCCTAGGTTCCATTGTCAGATTGGTCGCCGCGACTTTTCCTCTCCTTCGTCCTTCGTTTGCCTGATCGATCGCTTTCGCTCGCCTCCATCTCGGCCCTGTCCTCCTCAACCATCACTCCGCGTGCCCATTCTCCCGCCGTTCGCCTGGTCTTGGGACCCGGGCGTCACAGGGCGTTGCCTCAACCTCCCGATTCCGATCCCGTCTCACTCAGTCACTGCAAAAAAAAACACAGCACCAACAGCCCGCGCGGACAGAATCAGCCAAAACGGCGTACCACCACCAGCGACCCCTCCTCCTCATCGGAAACCTCCCCCCCATCAGCTGGAGAACAATGCCTTTTACAACACGACGATGAGCACCGAGACT